TGGTAGTCTAGGCTTGAGGGGGTTTCCAGCTTGTACATTGAAAATAAACGGCAAACGTCCGTCTTCTGGCACTAATGGTTGTGGCCGTGCTGGGAGTCAGCCACGGCTCTGCAAGTCCTGCTGCCCCCGGGCTGCAGGTGGATTTCCCACCAGCTTTGCAGGCTCTGGAAAAGGTCATCTGCCGCATTGGAATGTGGCTCGGGAGCAATGCCAGCCCGCGCGCTGGCACGGCTGCACGCCCCGCGCTGCGCTGGTGTTCGCTTTCCCCGATGCTTGTGGGGAAAGGTGGGCGGTTTGCTCTGCTTGCTGCCAGCTGTCTCCTCTGTTCAGCTGCGATCGGTATTCCTCCTCCTCCCACCTAATGCTGGAGCTTGACCTCAAACCAAACAAGCAGAGGACATAAGAGAGGAAAGAGACAAATCCACTCCATGTCTTACAGGCAGTGTTTTCAATTAATTTGGTTTGGGATTTTCACTCTATGGGGAAGACTTTGCTGTCTGCCCCTCCATGGATTAGACAGACACGACGGAGGGGGTGATATTCCTTGTGACTGCACAGTTCTGGTGTTGTCCTGCTTTGCAGATACCTATTTTATTTTTTTTAAGGGTTGACAAGTAACAACCACGATCCTGCCTTTAGCCCCAGTCTGAATTTTCTCCCATCTCCAACTAATCCCACATCACCTGCAGTGATGCTGGGTCACTGTCCGGTTCCTGCTGGAGAGCTTGTCCCCATCTGACCCCCTCCAGCCACCTTTGCCTGAGCAAAGGGACTAAATTTCCCATTGCCCAAAGTGCTCCCTGCAGCAGCTTGTCCCATGGTGTCACCTGCCTCCAGGACATAAACTGGGGTCTCTCCTGCCCAGAGATGTTCAGGCTTCTCTCACAGTGGCCGCTGTAGTTTCACAGTCCAGGCAAAGGGAACGATGTCCCCAGCACCTTCACTTCTGTCGTGGCTGGATGCCCAGAGCTATCGATCGGAGCGAGACTGCCCTCGCGGTACTGACCAGCAAACACCGACTGGGGCTGGGGGTCAGTGGCCACAGCAGGGGCGTCAGAAAAGTGCCTTCGTGGCAGGTGACACAACCTGATGGTCTGATCACCCCTGTCCTCTCCCGGGCCACTGCCTGGCCTTGAACCCTCTGATCGGAGCAGTCATGTGGCAGTTTGCTAATGAGGGGACGCCCTGCACGGGCAGCACATTGTCAGGGGGAAGAGGAAACTGAGACAGGCCGAGGGAGCGGTTTACGGTCTTTTCTGTCCTCCCAGCCATGGATAGGAAGCAGAAGCAAGAGGAGAAGGTACAGTATGCCCACGCTGCCATGATTAACACCCTTCATTTCTTCCCAGCCCCACTCTCCTTTTGTGCTTCAGTGATTCCCCCTTCTCTTGTTTTTAATATTCCTTCTCCAAACCTTGATCCTATAGTTCTTGCCAGGTCCTACGTTTTCTCTGGGGGCTCAGCACCACACAGGGGCTTTCTCACCTTGCAGATTTAGCTCTGTGTTTCTTCTTCTTTGTGCTTCACTGCTGGAAGGAGGTGGGGAGCAGCTGTTTTCTCATTTCTTTGGAAATCAAAGGGCACGTTCTTGCTGGCTTTGCACCCTCAGTGCACTGACAATACAAAGTCCGGAGCCCTGTAGGAGAGTGTCTGATTCAGTAGATCCAGCAGAGGTGGAGGAGCAGTGGGAACTGAAAACCTTTAGAGTACAACTTAAACATCTTCAAACTGAAAGATGTCCAACCCTGTTCACCCAAGAGGATTTTGTTATTCTTTTGGGGGAAAACTGGCAAGTTCATTTCCTGGGTTTCCATCCCTTTTGGGTTTGCTCTGTTTCATTTCTCCACTCAGGGAAATGGTACGGTGTTTTCTAAGATTTTCATTCCCATGGGACCCCATCGGATCCATGGAGCCTGCTGGCATCACCCACAATTTCCTGAACAGCTCTCCCTGTTCCCTCTCCAAAGGCTGCTGTAATTTGGCCAGTTCCATACTGGTACAACTGGATAAAGGTTCTCTTAATACAGCTGGGTCTTACAGTAACTGGGAGGTTCACCAGCATAAAGGAGCATTGCCCCAAGGTGTACACATCATAGCCAGTCCTTCCCTGACCATCCCTGGCCAGAAAAGAGGCATTTTAATCCTGCCCCAAGCTCATCTAAATTCTGCCTCCTCAAAGCCCAAAGGGTAGTTGGATTTGGCGCAAGGGTTCTGCTTAATGTTCCAGCCTTATGCTGTTTCAAGAAGAAATGAAACAGTTTCTGACAGTACGTAAGATGAATATCTCTTTCACTACTTACTCTCTTCCCACTTACCATGGGATGGAAGGGATTGACTGTGTCGAACGCATGGAGACTCTCAGCTGGAAGGTGCCCATAGGGTGGGAGATGTATCACTATCCTGGCAGCATTTTCTCTGATGAGGTGAGGGTCAGTATCTTGCGAGATCAAGTTTTCTTCTGCAGCTTTTCTGGGTGGTCTACAACCCTCTCTAGCGTGCAGTCAGCAGACCTGCACCTTGCATTTGCGCTGTGTCCTCTGTTTACGTGCAGCGACGTCTGTGTGCCCTCAGACGGGCTGGGATAACCCGTATTCAGGTTATTTGCTACCTCGTGCACTTGGGGGGAAGTTTTGTCTCAACATTTGCTCTGTGCTTTGCAGGCCAGGCCCTACGGCCTGCTGAAGCCGACAGCTTTAGGCAAGGTCCCAGGCAGATTCCAGCTTCACCAGGAAGCCTTGCCCCATCTTCCCGTGCCGCCGCTCCAGCAAACTCTGGACCGTTACCTGCTGGCTCTGCAGCCCATCATCAGCGAGGAGGAGCTGAACCACACGCAGGAGCTGGTGGCTGAGTTCCGCAAGCCGGGAGGCGTCGGGGAGAGGTTGCAGAAGGGCCTGGAGAGAAGAGCCAAGAAAACAGAAAACTGGGTAGGTCAGGACTCTGACCCCAGGCTCTGGTTAGGGAGGGCGGAGGTCTGATGCACCTCTCCATGTCCTGGCTGCATCCACTGGCACCAGTGTTTTTATGGCATCACCTTTGTGACCAGTCTGCTGCCAACCTCCCTGAGCTGTGCGAGCTCCTCAGCAGGACTTGGGCGAGCAGAGAGATTTACAGCAGAACAGGGAGTCGCTGACCCTGTCTGTGGCTGCTGAAGCCTCTAACCTGTTAGCATCACACAGCTGCCCCAAGAAGTTGAAGGAAACCCTCTGCTTGAGCCCTGCACCAAGAGCTCCCACTGCCCAGCTCAAATCCCCCTCCACCCTTCCGTGTGAAAAGCATAAAACCCAAACAGTTTGTTTGCAAAGTGTGGGACAGACCCGGGGGCAGGATGCAGAGGCCGTTAAGCCGGGCTTGGGTCAAACAGCAGCAGATGCCATGCCTGCATGATGCCTTTCTCCATCCCAGCTCTCGGACTGGTGGCTGAAGACAGCTTACCTGGAGTATCGCCTCCCAGTTGTGGTCCACTCCAGCCCAGGTGTGGTTTTACCTAAGCAGGATTTTCTGGATCGACAAGGTCAGCTCAGGTAAAGTCCTTTTCTACCTTCCCCTAGGTTTCAGATGGGATGTGCTATCTCTGCTGGACAGGGAGGAGGTTGTTCAGGCTGATTGGGAAAGAGAGTAACTGGCATGTGGTCCCCAAGTGTGATAGCTGTTGGTGCCGTGCAAGAGGGCTGTACAGATAAGGAAAAGCTGCCAGGCTCAAGAGGGAAAACTGAAGAGTGCGGTGGTTCAGGTACTAAATTAGGACTAAAAACCTAGGTTTTGATTTTTCTATTCTACTTGTGGAGTTACGGTTTGGAAAAAACAGTCACCAGCCTCTCTCCACCCCCGGTTTTTCCTTGCAATTAAACCCTGCCCTGTCCTCTCTTCCTTGGGGGCTCCCTTTAATTTTTAACCACCACTATGTGTGTGTTAAATTCACTTACAAAACTTCAGCACTGACCTTTACACAGGGTTACCTTTATGCAGGGTTACCTTTCCCAGTTACCCATCACCACTGCTCTGGCAGATCGAAAGTACCAGCCAGGGAGCGGTGAGGCTGAGAATAAACGCTCCCTTCCACTCCCCTCGGGTACACCTGAGCAGGGTGCAGAGGCTGAGCCTTGCAGGGACACCGCCAGACTAGATAAACATCTTGGAAAGCTCCTTCTCATATTATTCACTCTTGAGTTATCCACATAGAAGATAAGATCTGGAGCGCTACGAGTGGAATCCAGCAGCTCCATGAAAATCTGGGCTCCCACGTAAAACACAATTTATAGGAGCGTTTGTGTAGTTTGTGGCTGCAGAAAGAAGTTTGACGGTGTGGCTTGAAACTAAAGCTTCAGAAACCAGAAGGCAAGTTTAGAAAGTGGAGTTCTCCCTTCCTTAACCTGGCAGCACAGCTGTCTGAAAAACCAGCTCACCTCTCCCCATCTCCCCCAGCCCCGTCTCTGCTCCCAGGCTGTCTGCTCTCGGGAAGGCAGCACAGGCTCTCTCCCTGTCCTTTCCCAGCTGTTTCCCTGCCTCAGGTTTACCATAAGGCTGGGAGATTTTAACTGAAAACGACTTTGCAGGATGTCTTATTTGTTTAACAGCCCTTAAGTTCTTGGAGTCACAGCCTTTGATCTTCACTAGGGATGAGCAGGCTGAGCGACTCTAGATGACACTGCCTGCAAATGCCAAACTGGCACCACTGCAAAGCCTTTGAGCTCAGCTGACTGCAACCTCTGCCACAGTGACCTTCTGCCTCCGTCCTCCCCTGCATGCGTGGGAACTCCCAGGGCAGAGCAGGTCACTCACAAGCTAAGCAGTTTGATGTGGCTTCCCACAGCCTCCCTCCCCGCTGGGAGCTGGCACTGGCGGTGTTTGTGTTGATCCAGCTCGGTGTCAGCGTGCAGGATGCCTGCATTGGTTTCAGATCCCTCCGTGCCAGAGGAATGCTCTGAAGAGCTGCATTAGCAGCAGAGCATTCATCGGGGAGGAGCGGAGTCAGCAGCGGTGAGCTGGGGCTGCAGGGAGATACAGCTGCATTGGCTGGAAACCCAGAGGTGGCCCCTGGCGAGGGAAGGGCAGAAATCCCCTTTTCTCGGCGCTGTTTTAGCGCTAAGACTCAGAACTAGGATGTGACAAAATCACAACGCGTCAGTGAAAAAAGCTGTCAGAGGGTCATTTATGGTTCTGGACTGAACTCTACTTTCTTGGACGCTGTCCAGCGTTCCTTGGTTATACAGTAAGATGCATTTAAAAGTGCACGTGGTAGGACCATCCAGCAATCTCAGATCAGAAAGGCTCTCTCTAAGGGGCAGAGAGAAGCTCTGCTAACCGTCCTCAGCCCCGCACCTCCTGTGTTCGAATCTCAACTTGCTACGTTTGACATTTTTCCAGGTTTGCTGCCAAGCTGATCGAGGGCATCCTGGATTTCAAGACCATGATTGACAAGTGAGTTAGCGACCCTCCTGACTTCTCACGTGTTCCTTGCTGTCAGAGAGGCTGAGCCTAGCCCATACATTTCCCTTCCAACTAGAAATGCAAGAGAAGACAGCAGATACTTGAAAAGACATATTGTAATCAGCATCACTGCTGACTGCCAAGGGCACCATCACTGGAAAGAAAGCAAATTTACTTTTCTTTTTTCATGTTCTTTGTTTACTGTAATACTTTATTGGCACGTGTACGTGCTTAGAGGGAGTGAGCCTGACGGACAGTCCCGTGGAGCTACATACTTCTGTTTGCCCACAGAACAAGTTACAGCTCAGGCATGTTTCTCTAATTTTGGGTTTCTGGTGTTTCTCATCTCCCAGCCAGACAGGATGAGCTCTAGAGAAACTTATTCCTCCTTACCCTTTTTCTTCCGCTCTCCAGCAAACCTCTGCTGAACATACCTTATTTATGTTCCAGAAATATGTTTACCAACCCATCATCATACCTTTACATACAAATTCAGACAAAGCTCAGAGCCAGCTCTGACAAAGGTAGTTAGAATATGACTGCTCAAGCACACCACTCAAAATTATAGCTAAAAAACCTCTGTCTGCCATTTCACTGAAAACAATACATCTCCCAGGATATTGTGCCCTAGATTCTCCTCTGCAGACACATGGTGGATGCTAAGCTATGCAGCAGGTCCAGAGATTATTTCTCTGGCGTTACAGAGAGGATAGCGTTTTTCCCCTTCCCAAGTGGAAGGCCAGCAAACAGACTTTTTTTTTTTTTCTGTAGCCCCTACTAAGAAAGCTGGTAGGAATGGGGAAGGATGGGCCCTTTTTATACCACCAACACGTTTTGGTTTTGCTGGAGTGACAGCAGCTGCATGGCTGAGCCCGTGCCAGTCTTGTGCAGGTCTTCTCACTGATCTATTTTCTCTCTCCCTTCCTCCTTACCTTGCTGCGTGTCCAGTGAGACCCTCCCAGTGGAGTACCTGGGTGGGAAGCCCCTCTGCATGAACCAGTACTTCCAGATCCTCTCGTCCTGCCGCATTCCCGGGCCCAAGCGGGACTCCATTGTCAACTACGCCAAAGGCAAGAAGCAGTCCAGACACATCACAGTGGTTCACAATTTCCAGGTATGGCAGCTCCTGAGCTTTCGAGGAGGTTTGTTTAGATGCAGGTGTCCTTTTCATCTAGCTGTGGTCCAGAGGAAAGGGAACAAAAGAAAGTCTCTGCCCACCAGGGATTCATTCCTATTTCATTTATTCCCTTTGGCCTTAGTTGGCCAACAGCTGGGATTGCTCTGTGCGAGCAACTGAGGCAGTAAAACACTCTCTTCCTCTGTTTCTTGTCCCTGCAATTCCTGCCAAGAGATCATGTCTGTAATTGAAAATTGCAAGTGGAAATTGGATAACAAACCCTACCACCACAGATGAGTCTCAGAAACAGGAGTTCCTCATGTGGTTTGGCCCTCATTACCCTGTTTTCTGAGCTGCTTTTAAGCATTTATGCCCTGCAAGGGAAGCTGGGCTTGGGTGTCTCAATTCTGAGCATCCTTCAAAGGTCTGCTTACAAGCTGAGTTCTTAGGGTCAGGTCTTACCTCCTCAAAGTGGCTGTTCCCTGTTTCTGGGGCTGGACAATAAAGATCTTCGCTCATGTTCTGTCTTTGTCCTTGTCCACTCTTCTCATCTGCAGTTCTTTGAGCTGGATGTTTACAACAGTGATGGAAGTCCCCTTACCACTGACCAGCTCTTTGTTCAGCTGGAGAAGATATGGAACAACTCCCTCCAAACAAACAAAGAGCCTATTGGGATCCTCACCACTAACCACCGTAACAGCTGGGCAAAAGCTTACAACAACCTTCTGAAAGGTCTGTAGAGCCCCTAACATGTGAGCGCTAACAAACACCACGAATGTTTGAGCTACCAGCCTCACCCCTGTGCTCTGCTCAGTTCTTTCCTTTGGAAGCTTGTTCTGTACAGGTAATGTGAGCTTTCCACCTCAAAGCAGCAACTTGATTTCATTGCAAAGTGTTGTTATTTCTGTTCTGGAAGGTACACAGGTGAAGTCTGAAGCTTGGTTTGTTAGACCTGAAATCCTAGATTTTGTTGCCTTCCAAATGGGTGGGATGTAAGAACCATGAAAAAAAGGAAGGCGAATGCAGCACGCTCACATCTGTAACAAGCCACCTGGCTCCAATTTTAATACCTGCATGCACATGCCCCTAAATGACCAGCATTGTGCTGAGGTACAATGGAAATCCAACACTGGGTCCTTCAAACATGTTCTTTCAAATTTCAGTCTCCCTTCAATTAAAATGCAAGTTTTTAAGTTCCTTTCCTTATTTGCTCTTTGTTTCTCTCCCAGATAAGACCAACAAGGAATCTGTGCGAACGATTGAGAAAAGCATTTGCACCGTCTGCCTGGATGCGCCTATGCCACGGGTGTCCGAGGACATCTACAAGAGCCACGTGGCCGCTCAGATGCTGCATGGTGGAGGCAGTCGCTGGAACAGCGGCAACCGATGGTTTGACAAAACCCTTCAAGTAAGTGCTGATGGTCTAAAGATAGGAAGACATGGGTCTGGAGGAGACGCTTTTTTACTGAGACTACAAAGGTCCAAGAAATCCCAGAAACCTGGAAAGTTATCCTCGTATCATGCGAGTGGAGAAATAAAGGAGGCAAGGTGTGGTGGCTGACAGTCTGAGATCCCACGGTTTCCCTTGCAGTCACCACAGGCACTCATTCCTGCCTCAAGGACTTTTGTTTCTTTTACTGCCTCTGCCCACGCTCAGTCAGTGTAGCAGTTCTTTGTAAATCAATTTTCTGCCTGCAGTGAACAATGCCTCATCTGCTTGGAGACAGCCCAAGTGTAGGGAGGTCTGTTCCTTCTATGTCCCCTGAGCTTGTCACTTTTCCTGTTTCTGCCAGAAGCTGCCCAATGGCTTTTTTGTTTTTTCAAACATCAGCTGCCATCCCACAGCGTCCCTCTGATCTCTTTTCCATTCAGTCTTGTCAAGAGCCTTCAACAACAGCTGCTATTCAAGCTTCTTCATTAGGTGGTATAGCGTGGCTTGTGGATAGTAGCAGTGGTGCTTTAGAAGATTTTTCTCACATCTGCTGAACTCTGCATAATGTTTTCAGCTATTTTGTTCCTATTTACAGCTCCTTACTGGTGGGATAAGGCTTAGATGTTCCTGCTAATTGGAAAGTAAGGATAAGCTAGGACACGGTGATGTTATTCCTGTATTATGTGTGCATCCAAATAAATCAAACCCCTTGAACCACTCTGTACTGCCAGGACACTGAGCACACCAATATATCTATCAGGAACACTCTTATCCAGTTCATTCTGCAATGTCTGGATGCCTGTCTTCACCACTGTCCTCTCGTGCTTCTCTCACAGTTCATCATTGCTGAGGATGGCTCCTGCGGGCTTGTATACGAGCACGCTCCCTCAGAAGGGCCGCCCATCGTTGCTCTTCTGGATCACATCGTGGAGTACACGTGAGTCCTGCCTCCTCTTCCTCAGCTTCAGAGACAGGTTTTAAACCACCTGCTGCCCAGGAACATGCCTCTTCACAGCTCAGCCCCTAGGAATTTGTTCTGGAGGAAGGGTAATGCTATCCTAACTAGGCATTGCAGTTCTTGTATTCATAATGAGAGTTGAGTGGCCAAGCAGCTCGGATAAGTTTTGGTACTGCATCCATTCTCAGGGAATCGCAGTGTTCAAGAGCTACCAGGACTTTAGCCTGGGAGAGGTGTTTCTTTTAGGCAGAAGGTACAGAAAACATTTCACTCATACCCTCAAAAAACACCATAATGGCACTGTGAAGAATTTTTCAGCATGTGACCAGTGTCACAAGGTATTAGGGAAGATCTCCTGTGCATTTCTGCCCAAGCTCTGGTGTGCTTAGCTGAGCCTCAAGTTGAGAGTCTCGTTAAATATCATCATTTCTCTATGCAGGAAGAAACCCGAGATGGTGAGATCGCCCATGATTCCTTTGCCAATGCCCAAAAAGCTGCGGTTTAACATCACCCCAGAAATCAAGAGTGACATAGAGAAGGCAAAGCAGAACCTCAACATGTAAGTATGAAGCAGTGGACAGGTCTGGTGAGCGACTGAGTAATTCATGTTCCGCTTTGGAATGCATCAGTGGTTTAAATGAGGCTTCCCACACTGCAGCCAGGGAGTTTTCCCAGTGAATTCTTGGGTCAACATTGAACCAACCTGAAAAGCACGCTAAAGCCACCTGTCAGGAATCAAGCCAAAGGTGCCAGAAGGCAATAATTTCTGATCCATCCCACTTCACTGAGCAAGACTTTACTGGATCTAACTAGGGATACTGGAGCATACACACACAAGCCCATCTCACCTGGTGAAGACTGTCAGTAGTGGCCAAGAAAGCTCATCTCCATAGTGCTGCCCAAACAAGTCTGTGTGTGACTGAGCTTTCCCTGTCCCTGCACAGATCAGATCCAAATAGCCTGTTCCCTCTGAGCCTCATGAAAGCAAAGTCCATACCTTTATGTTACAAAACAAGCAACTGGCAAAGGAACACCTCCTCTTTCTTTCCTTGCAGAATGGTTGAAGACCTGGATATCAAAGTCATGGTCTTTCATCAGTTTGGGAAAACCTTCCCCAAGGCAGAGAAGATAAGTCCTGATGCTTTTATCCAGGTGGCTTTGCAGTTAGCGTATTACAGGTAAGACCACCGATGGGTAGCTTCTCAGCATCTTCACCATCAGACTCAAAATATAAAGGTGTCACAGACAAGTCTCTCAGAGGCTGCTATGCCCTGCTTCCCAAATCCCATGTTTTCCCCATGCACTGGGGCTGAACAGCGAATCTCACTTGTGGCAGCTGCCAGCCAACAGGGGAGATTAACCCCTCTGTGTGTGTACAGTCGCAGTAAGGAAGCATCAGAGGTCAGCTGTCAGTGGGACTCACTCACATAAAGTTTTCCCCTTCCCCCCAGTTCTTCTGCTTCACAAGAGGCCATTCCTCTCAGGACAAACTCACTTCTGTGACTTTCTTCTCCATCCTCCAGGATGTACGGCCATGTCTGTGCCACATACGAGAGTGCATCACTACGGATGTTCCGCCTGGGCCGCACAGACACCATCCGCTCCACTTCTGTAGACTCTCTAAAGTTTGTGCAGGCAATGGACAGCCCTGACAAATCGGTGAGGATCTCAGAGAAGTGGAGTAAGAGGACTCCACTCCAGAAAAAGAGGAAAGCTGCTTATTTGGCTAACCCTGTGTCAGCTGGTTTCAGCTAAGCAGAGCTGCACCCAATATGAAGCTGAGCTAAACCACAGCTTGGAGTGTATAGTTACACACCTTGGGTTTGATTTGGCTTTCCTTTCCTTTCACATGTGTTGAAAGCCTGGGAGACAACATCTGGACATTTCTAATCCCCCCAAAAAGAAGTATGTCCCTTCTAAAAGTCTGTTTAGTTACTCAGACTTTAAGTTCTGCTGCTGATGGGTGGAGAACCCCATTCAGAATGAAGTAACACAGCCAAGCAAAACTGTTTAAAAATTAAATCTAGTAAATATAAAAATTAGTCTAGACTAGACAAGGCAGAAATCCCCTCCATCCTAGAGGAAGAGCCAAAATCACATTTTCCATTCTGGAGAAAAACTTACAAACAGATCTGTGTGTTCTCAGGACCAGGAGAAAGTAGATTTACTGAGGAGAGCTACACAGGCGCACAGGGAATACACGGATATGGTGAGTGTTCTCTATGCACACAAAATTGGGGGTTTACATAGTAAAGAAGATCTTGTCTTTCACCAGAAGCCTCAAGAGCTTTTTCTGCTGACACAGCAACATGGCCATTAGTGCTGTTGCATAGGTCTAACTCCGATCTGACAGTGCTCTAGACCACAGACTGAATGCTTTCTCTCTAGCTAGTGGTTTTAAGTGTCCCTTGTGACTGACCTAAAGGAGAGAATCAAATATGAAAATAGGTTCAGTTCTCACTGTCACTGTTGCTGATAAATGCCAAAATTACATGAGGTCCCGTTAAAACAGAGGGAGCCCATAGGCAGGAACTGTAAGGCTGGTTCCACTGTCTGTTTAATTTTACAAACAAGACTGATATTGGTCCTAAAGACAAGATCTAGTTTTCTTCTGACTTTAAACATTTAGATATTTTTTTAGAAGTGCTTTTTTCTTTAACTCAAGGAAATGGATTTGCTCGCTTGCCTGCTAGACGGACTTTCATCTAGTCTTCCTTCCCTACAGGCAATAAGGGGCAATGCAATAGACCGCCACCTCTTGGGCTTGAAGCTTCAAGCTATTGAGGACCTCGTGAGCATCCCTGAACTGTTCATGGACACAGCATATGCTGTTGCAATGCACTTCAACCTCTCAACCAGCCAGGTAAGACTCATCTGAGCAAAGATGGAAGTGTTCTCTTGGTTTCTTTTAATTGCCTTTCTTCTCTACGTTTCTCCTTCATTCCCTCCTGTTAGAAACTAATCTTCATTTTGGGACAGAAATTTTTAAGCCTGCTACCGATCCCATAAAGCTGCAGATCTGATCCTAGAGCTGCCACAGTCCCTCTCAACCCTGTAAAGCACCAGCACAACCCAGGCCAAGATCACCAGGAGTGTTTGGTGTCTACCTGCAATGACAGCAACTGAAGTTAGCTGCCAGAATGGCTTTACACGCCTCTGCTGTGCTGTGATTCTAAGTGATACAATTCTGCTTGTGATTTACTACAAGCTCATCTTGGGGAGAAGAAACACTCCTCTGCAAATGCACAGGAAAACACATTGCTGGTAAATGCCAGAATCCAGCATGTGTGTGGTGGTGGGCAGGTCTGACCAAAAAGTCCCTCTTGTAGAGACTCTTCATGAGATTGCAATTTCTTCTACTGTTGATAGAGCTGTTAGCATTTGATGGCTACATTTCTCTCTGGCTGGTTAGAAATTTTTAATCACGTTGTCTCCCCAGGTCCCAGCAAAGACAGACTGTGTGATGTGTTTTGGTCCCGTGGTTCCAGATGGCTATGGAATCTGTTACAACCCTATGGATGAACACATCAACTTTGCCATTTCAGCATTCAACAGCTGTGCCGAGACAAATGCAGCCCGCATGGCACATTATCTCGAGAAGGCACTGCTAGACATGAGGAGCTTGCTCCAGTCCACTCCCAAATCCAAACTGTAAGAGGCAAACATGATGCAAAACCCCCAGCTAAAGGGGCTCTTCCTCATGCACTGATGTTCCCAGTTCCAGAGAAAATGATTGAGGTGATTCCTTGCCCTGGAACCTAGGAGGGCACCTATGATTTGTTTTCAGCAAGAGGTTACAGAACAGTCATCTGCAGGTATTAGTGGTGAGAGGAAACGCTGCCTTAAACCAAAGTAGAACTGACCTGTTCTCTCCCATCAATGCAAAGTGCACCTTCCTGTCCTCAAAGAGGACTGAAATATTATTTTTATGGAACTTACTGTAAAGGAATACTGAAAGCACAGTCCTTACCATATCTAAATCCATTTGGTGAGGAAGGTAGTTCTTCTCCAGGAAAAGCGCAGAATTACATGATGGAACTACCGTAAGTCCAAGTCTTTTTGCTGGTTTAGTCTTCCAAAGAGTCCAGCATCTTTCAAACTTGACTGAAGATTTTTCTGCTGCTCCAGCAAAACGTCACCATTGAACTTCAGCAAGGGGAGAAAGAAGTTCTTAAGTCAGAGCAGATCCAGCCTTGTTAGAGTGCACTGCACTACTTATCCCAGGCACTCTGACCAGTACATGCTTTACAGGCCTGGGAATGTTCCCTTCCCCTTGTTTTAGGATGCTGGGATCTCCTTTCTGTTGCACTGACCCTATTAACAACAGAATATCATTTGCTACAAACTAAGGTGGGTTTTTCGTTGTTGTTTTGGGCTTTTTGTTAAGCTTGCTGCTGCAGTCCTAGCCATGGATCTTCAGGCTCAGTGTAAAGCTTTTTCACCACAAAGCTTCATCAAAACTTAAGGTTTTGCGAGCTGTGGCTTTATGTATCTTCACATTTGCAGAGCTGCGAAGGGATTGCCTATGCCTTTAGCAGGACACTTGCTTCGTTGTACCTTTGTTTGGCACTGAGGAAAACAAAAAGATGCTGACCTTTTGTTTACTACCCCGAACGCCAAGCCTTCAGTGCACACATTAGCCCAATGTGATTTTATACTTGACTTACAGAAACAACATATTTGTGCATATGTTAAGCCTCAGTTATGGACAAATAAGAATGCTTCTGATCTGGAACTCCAGAACATACTTCTGTTTCTGGCCCACAGCGTTGAAATCCGTTAGAACCAAAGGAAAAACAGCTGCAGAATCACCCTTCTTTCCCATCACTCTGCTTTATCAGGGCAGAAAATATTGAAAGCAGGAAGAAAGCTGAGAACATGCAGGCACTGCAGATGTTTGTGGCAGCCACTGGTCCTGCAGTAACAGTACTGCGCCTTTTCTGCCACTCTTGGAGATTTTTCTTACTGCAACATTACTCAGATTTGTGCCAGCTCTATCCTGTGACAAAATGATCTCATGATAGTTTTCATGTTCAGTTGACAAACTTGAGACAGTAAAAGATTATATATAAACATTAACATCCCATGGTAGCACAGGAATTTTTGTAAGCACTACTTCCAATGAATCTGCTAGAATCCAAGCTCCTGACCGTACTTTTATTTAGTAAAACCGTATGGTAATGACAAATTCTAGTGCTATTTCTGCAACAGGAATTTAATATTTAAATTGCACACCCTCAAAGATTTGGCTGCTGGGACATCACCGTAACTCGAAGCAGTAGGAGTGTGATGGCCTGTTTTGTTAACAGGGAAATAGGTGATTGTAGCTGCTACTTTGCTAATCATAGAACAGCAAGGGACATGATCAAAGTGCCTTGGTGAACATATATGAAGAAATTTGCACTAAACCTGTTCAAAGTAAAAGAAAAAAAAATAATTCTAACTTGCTTCTTGAAAAACACAAGCCCACAGTACTGCATTTTTTCTTAAAATGATGTTATTTCAAAGTTTCTGTCTTTTAACTAAATAAACCTTGAAAAGGAAAATTTAACTGAAACTCACCTGCACAGCCAGTGATTGTATGAACTGCCACTTTCACATCATCTACATGGATTTAGTTATCTTTTAGAAGAATCCTGAATGGAGTGAGATGTTTTTTTAAAATCCAACAGGAGCGCTACAAACCTGCGAGCACGCATCCCTGCTCTTTTGACTCCTCTGTATGAGTTAGGCTGAAAACTGCAAGAGTATTATCAGTATCATCACGGTGTAAGTGATTCTGTAAATACTACATAAAAGACCAAACCTTCTTGGAATAAGATCTGGATTTACAGAGCCTTTTACATTGAAAAAATATTCCTTTTGCCAAACTAATCCTGCCCCCATACTGAATCAACCTCTGTTGCTAGGGGATGAGTTAATTTTCCCTGTCTGCAATGCCTTCAGCCGCTGACGCTACAGTATTGCCACTTAAGTATTTGAGACTGGCCCCTTTGTGCTTCTGTCTTATCAAAGGGGAAGGCTCCCAAAGGAAAGTGCCTATTAAAGATTAAGCAGAAGTACGTGCTGCTGTGACTGTATCTCAGAAGATGGGATTGATCTATTCTGGATCTAAATCTGGATATCCCACTAGCTTCAGCAGAGTACAGCTGCAAGCAGCAGACTGTCACATTGAGAGAGATACAAGATTCATTAAAAAATACATCCTTAAATGGAGCTGAATTTCAGATGAAGAAGATGATTTTTGAAGTGCTTGAATGGACACTAAAATCATTACAATGTTTTTCCTTTAAAAAGTCTTTTCTTATTGTACAAGTTCTAAAATGTGATGTCCTTCTGATTTGTACCTTCTTGATTTTTTCAGTGTCTGAATACTATTCTCCTCCCTGTTTCTGATTGTCTGTTTTATCAAGAGATGTCCATTGTTTTAAAGGCACATTAAGTACAAGAAACTTAAGTTCCAGAAAAACTACCAATTTGGAGCAAATGCATTTAAGAAATACATAGAGTGAAATTGTTCAGGTAACTCTTGGGGTATGAGTGCAATTTCTGACACAGCCTGGTAGTGTTGCATGCTTTGCTGGTGAGCTGTGTTAAATACTGTTTCCGTAGTATAATCCATGTCATGCAAAGTTTTGAAATGTTATTTGAATAAACACAATAAACAGATAACCGCTGTCAAAAGACTTAAGTGTCCTTAGACACTGCAGAAGTTACGTAAGTACCCTTATGGGAGGATGTTTGTATGGGGACAGCAAGAACAGTGAACCACAGCATTCTGTCACCTTCCTTTTATTGTCTTGGTATCTCCATCCAGCCCCCTTGAATACAGGGGAGGAAGAGAAAGCATCTGCTTGCAAAGCCACATATTCGAAAGAAAATATTCCATTTCAGAAAACTAGTGGCAGGAGACTTCATACAAGTGTAGGATAATAAGGCAGAGCTCAAATCTTTTTCCTGCACAGCACCATTTAGGTAAGAAAATCCATGGGATCACTAAGGAATTTCTACTGTATCAAGTATTGCAAAGATTTCTGGAAAGGTACAGCAAAAGTAGGCAGAAGATGCAGATTACAAACAACTCACAGAGAACAGAGGAGAGTTTATTACAGTGTCTTACAAGAGCTCTTCTTCCCTTCCCTTACTCCTAAGAATTACTGTAGGAAGCTTGGGTTTGAAGGCAACATGAAGTGGAACAGTTTATACACTACACTGCTCTCCAGGAGGAGACGAAACCTCTTCCCTGTGCTCTAGCTCTCAAAAGGTGCTTCCACAAACAGTTTTTCCAGCAGTCTGTCAAAACAGCTTGAGAGGCTAGGGGAGTGCTAGCCACTCTTCAAACAATCCACTCTTTCAGCCTTGTCCTTGGGGAAGAGTTGTGACCTCCCCTCTGGTTTTGTAAGTTAACTTACAAGAGATATAAAGAGAAAAGAAATGGTTTTGCAAGAAATAAGTGAAGAGTACCAGCTTTCAAATCAAAACATATGGTACCACCATATCCTGTGGCCTGGCTGATGGCCTGTCTCACGTTAATAGGGCTGTTCTAAGCCAGATCAAATGTCCTTATGAAATCTGCAGACGCCTCTATTCTGATGCACCTTCAAAGCAGATCCAGTGCTCAGGTCCTTCAACTGTTAACAGGATTGCTCATGTTATGCAAATACTAAACTTCTTTAAAAAAAAAATTGCTGTAACAACTGAAAACAGTTAGTTTACTACCTGTAGCTACTTAAACACAGAAATTTAAACAGCCTTCATTCCTGATCTTCTAGATCAGGATCACTGCTTTCTGGAGTTAACACTCTGGGTGTCCAACAGTTTCTACAGTAGCTCCCACCCCATACAAACACACAAACTCCTATGGCAACAGGCACAGATGAAAACTTAAAAAAAAAAAATCAACATCAAGATGAACAGAAATGCATCTTACTTCAAGGAGCTTTATAATGCAGGAATCTGATTAAAGTGAGATAGTAAAACAGGCAGCAAGACCAAGCTGTGACAGTCATTTTACCTGTGCTCACATGACTGCATCGAAGGCACACGGATAACCTTTGAGCCAGTTCAGAAGCTGTCCTTTATCTGTGAAAGTTCAAGTCAATTGTGCTTTGAATAAATACTTCTCTGTAGTTACACTGGAACTGCTGCATTATATACTAGAAATACAGAATGTGTCCATGCACAGCCCTGAAGCCCTTTGAGTACAGCCCTTGCCAGGTGAACTCCCGGACCACAGCAGTCGTAGGCATCACCAGCACACACCGATGGCAGGCACGCTCCCACAGACACCACATCCAGAGCTGACTGCCACACGAAGAATCAGAAAGGAAGAAGGATGGAAAGCAAAACTTGCTTGTAGGAGTTCAGCATTCAAGGTTACTGCTGCAGAACCCCGAGCAAGCCACTGTACCACCTGGCAGGAGTCTCTGCTAGGATGAGCTCACCACTACTGGAGTTCATGGTTGGATTCTAACAGGACTCTTCAAGAAATAATTCAGACAGCAGCTGAGCTAGTTATTATTCATTCGCCTTGTTAGTCATTTATGGTTGTCACTTTGTTCATTATGAAAAGTCCCTCCCTTAAGCTTTAACAGAAAAAAAAAAAAAATCCAGTGCTTAAGACAGAGACTAGCAACTGAATTTTGTAAGGCTTTGGGCTGACTCTGACTGGGGCACAGCACCGCTTAGATCCAGTGGGCTTTCCAGTGCCGGCGGTAGGACGCTCAGTACAACACAAGCTGTACAGATCACAGCAACCCTGAGGTAATAAAAGTATAAAGGAAGAGATGGAATAAACATGAGATACGTATGATACCTTGCCACCTAGAAGAGATTCTGAGAAAGACACTCTTGCTAATTACACAACAGGAGCAGCAGTAGAAAAAAAAAAGTCAGTACATTTCAGTTTTTCCTTTGTTTTTCACACATGCTCCCCTTAATGGTATCTGTGCAGGCTTCCCTGCAGAACCGTCACTAGTGTTAAAGATCAGACCTTTAGTCTCTCCTGTCTGTACAAAGTGCAGCTGGAATTAATTTTATCTCCCAAACTGGTTGCAGAAAGGAAAGAAAGCCTTCCTCTCCCTTCTGCCCAAATCAACCCATCCTAGTTCCCCTCCCCCTTAAGAAGTTTTTTAAAATTGAAAGCCCTAATTAATGATGATCAACTTGAGATTAGTTTTGTCATCTTCTTCCAAAAGGAAAAACCCAGATAAAAAGCAAAACCAAAACACACAACCAATGCCTCACCCACCCCAAAAACAATAGTTCCATTTAAAAAAATAAATAAATAGTGTGTATATTTCATGCTGGAAAAAAAAAAAAGTCACAGAAAGGATTCATATTTGGTTTTCCCTCCCCCGAACATGACACCAGGCATTTTCTCCCCCCTCCCCTGACGTAGACACGATGGTACTTTCCAACCGGCAATGTGCATCTGTGTTGAAAATGAGTTTCTACTCCTGCACGGTCCCACATGCATCAGGGAGCATCCAGCTAGCTGCTAAAGCAGAGCAAAGGCTTTCAGGTTTTGGATATGGTCCCTGCCTGTTCCTTTGGTCCGTCTGTTAAAAGGTTCCTTGCTGCTCCCAGGTCTGTGCTCTTGTCTGTCTCTGTTAAAACGTGCACTCTGGTCCCCACACTTCCCGAGTCACTGGAGCTTCGTACCCAGCTTGCGCTGTCTGTTTCTGTAACGGCAACACAGAGGGTGGGGTGAGAGGTGGCTCCAACCTTGTCGCAGGGTACCGCAGTAAACCAGTGGGCAAAACACAGGAGGATTAAAATAAGGCTCTGCTTAGCTCCACACAGAAATCGATCTGCCCCCACCATACTCTACAAAGAGATCGGTCCTTCCTACTCTTTACAGTCCTAGACCATCCACAGTGCCTTAAGTGCACACAAGCTCACACGAGGATGCAAGATTATAAACACTTGCAAAGAACACGGGCTGGGGAGCTGAAATACTGACCATTTAAATGAAACGTTCTTTAATCACAAACACTGCCAAAGATACTCACCTTCCAGATGCAGTAATTAACCCACAACTTGGTATTTGTCTACTCTGCACTATTCTACCCACAGCAGTTAGCTACATATTAGAAAATAAATTAATAATTACATCTGACAAGTTAAACCAGCTCCAGCTCGTCCCCACCCTCGGATCACTTACCTTGCCTCTGCTCTTGTGACTGTGTATTCAAACCACAGGATGTTTGGAATGAGGCTGGTATCTCTGATTAAAAAGAACTCTGAAATTGGCCTGGAAATGGACAAGGTGGTAGAAAGGGGGAAATAATTAGTCTTTTTCTCCAACATAACTTTAATCAAAATAATAATAATTTTTAAAAAGCACAAAAACTGCTCCAGACTTAACATTACTGTTCTATTACCCTTCAGTCTGGGAAAGGGCTCCTTGTTAATAAAAAAAGCTCTTGTCTTTTTTCTTTCCTTACACAATGTTTCCAGACTACATTACATTTAAAGAGTTTTGCAATTTCACTAGGTCATTAGACATTCATTATGAAAGGTCTGTTCTGCTTGAAAAGCTTCTCCAGCACTCTGCCACACCTCACAGCTTCAGAGGGCTTTACTCATGTACCAGTTTCTTAAACTTCTTCTCTCCCCCACCCATAACAGGCAAGGAAATGTGATCCTTTGTATATGCATGCACAAGAAAACATGGAGGAACAAGTAGGTTACACAACAGTCATTATGCAAAACTGCAACAGAATCCAGGAATTCTCATTTCTAGTATCTGTAACATTGGCAGTTTGAGGAGCCCATTTACAGTCAGGGCTTGCACAGCTCCAACTAGAAATTTAGAGACTGAAGTATCTTTGTTTTGCTTCAGGTGCAAGGTACAATTTTTACACCTATTGATTAGTGGAATTTTCTTTTGTCAGGGAATTCGACTACATGTGTGTTACCAGCTCATTGCAAGGGACTCATTAAATGAGTAGAACAGCAATCCACAAAATGCAGACTTGCAGGAATAAAACCTCCACGGAACGAAGACTTACCACGCAGCTATCCGTGGGAAGAGAGGAGTTAATATCTCTTGTGTGAAGGCAAACCAGGCTATGGCCATAATGCTTCCTGCCACACCTCCATATAAGACTTGGCTCCAGGTGTGGTAAAGCAAATAAACCCTGCAGTGGAAGAGAAGAGTCACCAGGCAGGCTTTAAAACAAGAGGAAGTATGACCCAAGGGCTGATGCTTCACTGGACCCTCAGATGTTCTGAGCAAATTATCCTCCAGGTGTTAAAAGTGGGTATCTTTGGTTTTTTTTCATTCAAAAGCTGGCAAAAAAGTGGGGGCAAAAAACTGGAAAAAACTGTTTTCCCTGCTCCAGCAGTTTCAGCTTAGAGTGCTTCTAGTTTGAGCTCAACTCAATAACCCTCCACATTCTGCTTCATCTATCTTTGGATTAGCTGAGGAACTATTAATGCTGGTTCCCACGAGAGACTTTTCCAAAGCCAGTAACAGGACAAGTCCCCTCCAAGCCACCAAAGCTGAGGCTTAAAGGCTTTTAAGAACACAGACAGCATTTTTGTTCAGATTTTGCTGCTCCCAAATGCGACAGCACGAAGGCTACACTACCCACAGCATGCTTACTGGGACTGCAGCCGTTCAGCAAGCTCTATTAATGGTCTGTTATCAGTGCACGAGCTACACGAGTCACATCCAAAATTCTTTTCACCCATATATCATAAAGCCATTAAGATCATCTTGTCTGACACGCTGCCTAGCACAGGCCAGTGGATTTCCTCAAATTAATTTTTATTTGAATTAGATCATATATCTCTCATGAAATTGTCCTGTCAGAATTTTAAAACTAACCAGTAATACGGAATCAGCTCTAGCGTACAGTCAACTGTGCCAACAGGTAATTACTTTCCCATGGAAAACACGGCCTTATTTCTAGCCTGAGTTTGTCTGGTTTCCAATCACTGAAGCTCATTTTATGTGTGTGTATTTTTTTTTTAATCTACTAAAGGAGAAAAAAAAAATAATTATTAAAGTTTCATTGTCTTTATTCATTTTAATACAACTAAAAGTTGCAAGTCAAACAGCTATAAATGTTTTTATTAACTAATGCTCAAGCAAAACAATCAGCTTGATCCACTGTAGCAATCCACATGCTGCAGAGGCTGGTGTGCCAAGGCATGGTGCAATGCTTTCATGATTAGTGCTGGAAAGAGGGTGAGGCAGTGAGGCTGGAGCATGGCGATGGAGCTGACAGGGATTTGGTACAGGCTCAGCTGATCTGGGGTTTTACAAATGCTTCTGTGAAGCACCACACATGTAGCACCTTTGCTTATTTGAAGGGTCTCATGGCAACACAGCAACTTCTGCAAAGCGCTGACTTGTACAACGCAGTCGTTGAGAATTAGATCAGAAATGCAGGATAAGGAATGACAGGTCTGCTGGCTGTTCAAGGCCACAGGACTGTATGAGAGCATAAGACAAACAATTGCTCCATACCTACTATATGAGACTAGCAAAGCCACTGTGACGAGGCAGATGGACAGCACATGTCGCCATAGTAAATCCAGAAACCTCGCATTGTTTGTTTGGTGCATTCTGAAAGAGATGGAGAGCCATTAGCACAGTGGCAGGGAGCTGAGCAGTCCTTATCTCTGTTCTCACTACCTCTGATACCTAGGAAAGCTCTACTCCGGTGGGGTCATGGGCAGCTGGATACCATCCCAGCAGCAATCTGTCCCACTGGCAACAGTTAAAGAGAAGCCAGAAAGCCCCACTTCTCTCTCTCCAACTGTTAGCAGGATTTGCTGTGATGGAAGGCAGAATGCTCACAATCACTGCAATTGATGTGAAAGGCACATGCTGAGCATATGCAACAGGGAGCCAAGACATCAGAGTCCCTCCACCATCCACAAAGCCAGGAAGAACTCTGAGTTTTGTCTTCCTCCACACATGGAGCCACAAGACAGAGCCATGCCCCAGCAAGAATTTCAGAAAAGCACAGCACAGCATGTAAAACCAGTACTTGGTAAGGGAGATAACCACTGACAAAACTGAGTAGACACATGAGAAAGCAGCTCTTCTTTCCTCCTCCCTATCCCACCCCCCCGCCCTTCCCTCACACTGCTGGATCGTCACAGCTCAGAAAAAGCAAAGCAGGAGACCTGCACCCAGACAGGCACAGGAGGCCCACCCATACCCTTCAGTTTCCAGCAGTGATAACGACAGTCCTACATTCAGATTGAGACAGACATGCTTCGTCCACCCTAGCCACCGTAGATTGTGCGGTTCCTCGGATTTAATTCCACTATGCCACTGAAGTGGCACACAGCGAGGGAGAGCCACCTACTTCAGGTGTTTCAACATATTAACAGCCAAAACCTGACACTGAATTTTTACCTTAAATAAAGGAACAGAAAGGAATAGACAGAGAAAAACCACATGAATTGGGAGTGGCTGGACGGCATCCCATATTTTGTGGTCACTGTTGAATGGGCTTCTGGGAAGAGAAGAAGAAAGAGTATGGTCAAGGTCTACTCTGTACATAGCAGCTGGAACGCTCCAGACACAAAGCCAGACCACTCTGCTGGAGTGTATGCACATGAGTCCACAGGACATCTCTGCTCAGATGGCTCTGCCAGCCTTCTTACACCCAAACATCCAAAGCCAACATGAGGCAAAGGGGAAAATATCCTCTAACCCTCCCAGAGTTAGCATTCCACTCAAAACTCAACCGACACCATGACACCAATGGGCCATACCATACCTTCGCAGGGCCGAGGCTCCCGGATTACATTTTTTATTAACCAGTTCACTCCCTCGTTGAATGCCAGCCCTCCCAAGAAAGAGATCTGTGAAGGCAAGACAACTGCGTCATCCTATCTAAAAGATCCATCTACTTACCAGGCTCTCTCTGTTGACAAAACCCCAAACCACATGTTTCTAGTTTTCTTTTTTGATTACTAGAGTTAAAACCAACAGCTTCAAAATTCTCTAGCTAGAAGGAGGAAGAAAAGCATTTCTTTTTCAGGCCACTTTGCGTATTTGGCAACATGTTGTGTATATGCAGCTTTTCAGCAGATGATACACAGAAAGAGGCAAAAAATGACACTGTAGAGCAATTATGTTCACATACTTCCACCAGCAAGCGTAGAAAGTGACATTTTTTTATCAGGGTAGGTTTTAAGTGATTGTCTTTCCCCAACGACCAACAGGGGGAGTGCACACACCATTATTTGGGTAAATAGCTAAAAAAGATGACTTTTTAGGCTTTCTGCCTTTTCCCTTTATGAATTGTTTGATCTTGAAGCTGCTGTCTTCAGTCTAAAATGAAATCACGTTCTGGACTGAGCCAGACTGGCACCACTTATTTTTACTCTTTAATTCAATGGTCCATACACCTCCCCTAAATTAGTGCTGCTGCTGTGATCAAATTCCCAGCTAGCGATGATACTCTGCCTCCTTAACGCTCAGTCCCATTCCAGATGACGAAGCAATTTTTCACTCTGTGTCCTGAGCTACGGGTCAGGCTGCTGCAAGTCAGCTGGTACATCTCTCCAGCTCAGTGGAGACTTCCCATGCCAAGAACTGGGAACCAAGCTCAACACTTGCCTCATTACCAACAATTAACAAGCCCCTGTATTTAAAAAAAACCCATGAATTTGTACAATAGTTACTCCAGCTTATTCTCCCTTTTGGGTCAGCAAGAAACCTTTGGGTTGCCAAAAATTAACAGCTGCCTAGCTATCATCGGCTTAATAACCTACAAGTCCCACGCCCAGGTCCCTTGAGCCCCTGGTTCCCATGACACCATGGCCCCATATTAGACATCTGTAGCCAAAATCCTATCACTGGCCCTATTTTATCTGTTTACTGAGGACAAATGTTACAAGTGGTTTATACTTCCTGAAGGGAATTTATCCATGACACCGATTCCCAACTACCTGTCAGAGAAGACAGACAGCATTATGTATTACAAAAAAGTCCCTTCTTGGTCATTTTGACAGAAGCAAGCCTCTTGTGTCCCTGGTATTTGATGCACAGCTGGGAAGTGACCCTTATAGACAGATCCACTCCCTTGGGAATCTGTCGGTTTTATTCCGTATCCCATTTTCTTCCTCAGTACTATTCAAAGAAAGCACATCCTACTGAGTTACTGACACCATCTCCTGCATGTGCTGCCCATCTTGCAGGAACCTACTAGTGCTACGATCCTACTGGATCTTGGGAGCATTCCCAGTCTGCAACAGCATTCTTTAGTTCCTCAGACACCTCCCTACACATTTTTGGACAGATAATGCCCAAAACATACCACAGAGTAACAAAAAAGCCAGGAAAGGCTAAGCAGGTGTTAAGAGTCTCCTGCTGTTCTTTGACAGGAAGATCACCTTACCTAGCTTGCCCTTTAAAGAGAGAAAAAGAAGTGTGAATACAGGAGCACCAGGTGACAAAGGAAAATATTTTGTCATAAGGAGAAGCTGGGGACAGGACTCACCGTGTGAAGCTCTCTCTTGAATATGATGAGTGTTACAAAGCCAACAATAATGAATAACGGACCAAGACTCAAATAAGCTAAAAGCTGACCAGAGAAATCACCTAGGGAAACAAACAAGAGAAACAAATCAGTGTGAACTTCACAGGCAGGCGTCTGCCACCAGAGCGTGGGTCAGCTGGTGCCCTGAGTCCCCGAGAGCAGAGGGGCACACTCGGCACTGGGGTACGTCTCAGTTTTGCAGACTCCAGCTCCAGAGGCAAGGAAGACACCAGCACTTCCACGCAGGTTAAAAACCAGGGATGAGAGGAGTTTGGCATCATTCGGCAGAGATTACTGCCAGCCAATTTACAACAATGACCATGGGTGTGGGCCCAGAGTCACTTTAATCCAACATAAGCACAGGCTGCTGCGAAAGAGGCAGCGTCTTTCCCTCCCCCTCATTCATCTTGCCTCTGTGCCAGCAATTACCAGCAAACACTCCCCAAACAAATCCTTTCCCACTCCTTTACTAAAAGGGGTTAGTTTTCAGCTGGATCAGCTCCTTAATCTGTCTCACCATGTGTCTGCACGAACACTAGCATTAGCAAAATGGGGAGGAAATAAATAGCTAAACATAGCAGGAGATAAAGGGAAAAAAAAATAATTTGCTTTTTTTACCAGTAGCCCACTCGTATCACTCAGAAATTACTCTGGGCCTCCACCCCAAATAGCTAACAGTCTAGTTCCCCCCAGGGAGAATCAGGGAGCAGCAATGGTACCTCACAGGAGGTCATAAGGTACCGCAAAACCTTGACCCTGAGCTATCACAGACACAGGAGCAGGCAAACAACCGTAAAGAGCAGCCACACGTTGTGAGCTCAGGTTCTCCTGCCTCTGTGCCCTAAAAAAGGACACAAACGATTGGGAGAGAAGATGTCAGCATCAACTCCAAGGAAACAAAAAGTTGTCAGAGTAATTTTGCTCCAAGATCAGCAACTCACATCAGGACAATGAGACCTATCCACCAGCGAATCCTTACAGACAGCAGCCACTGCCAACATACAGCATGACCCCAGCGAGCAGGGCAGAGACAGAGGACATGCGATATTGGTTCTCAGACACCGGATCTTCTCCATCCCATCCCTGAACACAACAGGGTCAGCCCTCACACAAATTTATCCTTCCTCCCTCCTCTCAAAAGGAAACAGGATGCCTCTGCAAGGCTGAGCGCTGGACTCATTCCTGGATCAATTCCACTGCAAGATGCTGAGTCTCCCCAGCCCACGCACCCACGCTTAGGAACAGCGCTTGGCAGAATGGACTCTACCCTCAGCCTCTGATACTGCAACGGAAAAAAGGAAGAAAGCAATCAAACTGCTACAAAGTTCAGTCCTGCTGACGTTATTGCCACGTAGTTGTGGTTACACCAGGTACAGTGCACAGATCTCTCTTCGGTTCCAGACTCTGGGTTAGATTTGGGAACCAGCACAACCATCAGAAAGGATTACTTGCAGGAGTTTAGTCTGCAATACCGGTAAAATCTGGAAGAGTTGGAGGACAAAACCTCCAAGAATACCGGGTTTTCATTGGGCTGAAGTTCTACTTTGTTTTTAACCTGAAAAGCATTAGAAGACACTGAATTTGAGATTTTTCTTGCACCGTACGGCAGGTTAGCCTGGCCTCAGGTGAGTTGCAAATGCCCCCGGAGCAGCACAGCAATGTTTTCTGGTAACACCAAGCGGATGCAGGTGACGGAATCAGTTCCTGGCAATGGAGAATCCAGTCTCTTATGGTTTTATATAAATCACAAACTCTTTACAAAATTAATCCTCTCTTAAATGATGAGGGAATTCATGAGACAAGCCACCAGACAATCAAAACTACACTGAAAGCCTCAGGAATACCTTCCAACAGTTTCATTTGCGTTGTTACCAACCGAAGACAGCTCCTCAGCTAGGCATCACCACGTTTCGGGTCATTCCCTTGGTTAATCCACGGTACATAAAAGCTTAGCACTTCAAGACTAAAAGCTATAATTTTGTCAAGTAGAAAACCAAACCAGATGATTTATCTTCTCAGGGGGTTCTATTTCTTGTGCAGATGGTGGAAGAATACTTAAGGCAATAGTCTTTTAATTTAAACAGCAGCAGCAAACTCAAGATCTTCCCTTATGTTCTACGATAACACACCCAATAAATCAAACCATCCAGAGTTCAACAGCACACAGCCAACACTTGAACCCGAGGTGCAGAACCAGCAACCATGCTGCCTGCAGGCAGGATACCCAGTCCTTTACTCGGAAAATCTGAACACAACAGCTCCCCAACCATTTCAGCTGTCCCTTTAGAACAGAGATAGCGTTAATAATATTCATATTATTATTCTTCACATTACTGCAGCTAAGAGCAATCAAACAGAATGTCGATCTGAAGCCACTCTTTCTAAGGGAGGAGGCAAAGGCAGAGCTGTGCACTAGCTGCAGACAGCGCTTCTGCTATGGGAGCTACCCCAGAGCCCCCAATGCCAGCACAGGCATACTCGCTAGATTAGCAGCTCAAGGCAGAGCTGCACCAACTAAACCAGCTCCAAAATAATGGGAAATCTCCAGGGAAGAAGGCAAAGCAAGCTCCGAGAGAAGGGCCCGCGCTGATCACCGCACAGCGCTCCCAGGGCCTCGGAGGGTCATTACTTGTGTCACCCTATGCTCACACTCCAGTGTGCTCAGAGGCTTATTCCCAGGGAGAGGGGAGTGGCAGGAGAGCAGAGTTTGGAGTCCAGTCAGATCTAGCAAGCAGGTCTCCATCACCTTTTTTTAAAAATTAATTTTTCTTCATTTTACTAAACTTAGGAATTTTAAAGCAATTCCTCCAACCCGTAAGAACAGAGCTCACCAAAACCTCTGGAAAAATGCAAAGGAAAATCTATTTAATATATAGCTTGGGGTTTTATTGTTTGGGGGTTTTTTGGGTGGCTTTTTTGCTTTGGGTTTTTTTCCCCCCACACACACTCTTGCTTTTCTGAAGTCCAGCCTTCCCTGGACATCATTTGGGTCTCAAGCTGCAAAACCAAAGAACCCAACTACCTCATTTTTAGGCATGCAAGGGATAAATAGCTGAAACACTATTCATAGCTCAGAAGCACACTGGTTTTTTCAGCCTTCATTCAGCATCTGCTCCAATTCAACATTTCACCCAGCATCCTTTCACTGGAAACATCCAAGCTTTACCACATGAGCTTAACCTGTACATAATGTAAAAACGTGAACCAACAGCACCCTGACCACATCCTACCGCAAGATCTGGCTTTACCACCGCCACCACTGCTTCCTATTGCAGCATCTATTTGTGGCACTGCTGCTGGTCATATGTTCTTGCTTAAATGCACGTGTGCAAACTGCACAGACAACACACAGCGCGCGGGTGGCACAGCACACCATTTACACCAGTAGATGTTAATGACAGGTCGTCATGTGTGTGGCACATGCATTTACACCAGTAAATACTCACGATGGATCATCATTCCCTCTACGTGTGCACATCCTGATATCACAAGCTATGGGACAGTAAAAATACCTTCAGAAGGCTTTAAACTATGGCATCAAAGGCATGCATCAGACATGCAACTTCTGCAGGGAGACTAAGCATAAAACCCAGCATTAAAGAAGCCAAACAACTAAGTGGTATCCGCTTCCTTCAACGATATTCCTCAGCTATGAAATGAGCCCTGACTGGCAAGCTATCCCCCTGAGCAGAAATCCCAACAGCCAGGGGGATCGGAACACATGTTCCTATAGGAGCAAAACACACCGATACCAAACAGCAACGAGAACTGCTGGGCAAAAGTACACACACAGCACGGGCACATTTGCTCTGAAGCACCTTTTTGCTGATCAGTTGATTCTGCACACTTGCCTCTCCAACTCCGCCTGACTGTAGTAAACACCCTTCACAACCGAGAAAACAGAGAGATTCTCTGTCATTCTGCAGAGAAAGGGTCTGGCACACCGGGTTTCTCTCCTTAAAGGATTTGTCCAACATGAGAAGAGGCATTCCAGAAAGTCCAGAGCTTTAAGAATCCCAGCTGCAGTGAAGAGAGGAAATTTTTTTCATTTTCTCCAAACAATAATAAAAAAAAAAAAACAAAAACCAGGAACTCGGTGTTTCTCCAGTGAAACTCACCCTACAGACAGGAAGTCCCTGAAGATGAGTTTTAAGTCTGCAACACAAAGTCATCCCATGCAAAGCAGCGTGTATGGGGAAAAAACAACCCTAATTATACCCACAACATGACAGGATTTAGTTCAGCTGTTATCAAACAAAAACCCTCAGGCCTCGTGTGAGCCAATACCTTCAGAGTAGTATCCAATGCTCTGCAGCGGTCAAAAAGGCACGAAAAACAATTTTAAGAGCAAACAAAAGTTACTGTTACAGCACTACAAAAAATTACTATGCGATTCCGGTGTCACCACCTAAAAATGGATAGTAAACACCGAAAAGGCAAACAGAAAGGGGACAAAGATGACAAGGATAAAATTGCAGCCACTCAGAAAATATCGAGTAACTTGGATTTTCATCTGAAAAAGGGAAATAGACAATATAACAGTTCTGTAAAATCATGACCGATATGGAGAAATGGAGAGCAAATGTTTGTTACCTCTCCCTGCAGGTGAGACAGTGTTTGACACTACTGAGCAGTGGGCTTAAAAGCAGGAAAGAAACAAGCACATGAAGTTATAAAGCTCTGTGTCAAAGATACTGCAAGATCCAAAGCAGAAACGGATCCAAAGAGCAATGAGACATATTCAGAGTATAGCTTTTACATATCCATCAAAGGACTTAACAATCCTGACGCAATCACCAGCTGACTACTGGAAAGATGTACAGAAGAAGGAATATTCCTGCCTACCTGCCAGCAACCCAGCTCTATGCCAGATCACTCCCTGCTCTCACCAAAGCACAGTTGCTGATATGAAAAGCTCCAGGACCAAACACTTCTGAAAGCAGTATCAGGATAATATTTTTAAAGACCGTCCTCTTCAGCAGCACACTTTAACACACTGTCGAGTAACAACACCACCATTGCTTTCTTCTCCCTATGTCTGATCTTGACATTTACTGTCAGTAACTCTTCAGTTAGGTCTCCAAGACCCCATTACTCACACCCATTTGCAGTTG